GGTGTAGATATTAAGATTTTCTTTTATCTTGTTTTCTGCAACATTTTATTCAGTGTTTGATATAATTTGTTTTTATTGGATTGTTGTTTTTTTTACATGAAATAAATAAATGTATTTTTAACATTGTCCTTTGGTATCAGATACTTCAACTATATTTAACTTTGTCAGTGAAGCAAGAAATTCTTAAAGTTWGACTCAAACAAAATAAGGAGAAGCTTTATATCACATTAAAACAGAGCGCTGTGATTGACAGCTTCACATCACTGCACCAACCTGTCAGAAAGTCCTGAATGGCAGCAATCAGAGGTTCGCCGTTTCTTGGTGTGACGAGATTGGCTTTGGTCTGGAAGACAAGACTATCTTCTCAATCAAAGAGCCAAGTCCTAAAAATAAGGTCAGCCTCATGTGTACTTTACAAAAATTGCACTGTGATGATACAGACCCCCATCAGGACCAGAGCCTCTGCTTTGGCTTCTTCAGTCTGAGGAAGATGAAGATTCATTTCATCGCCGTCAAAGTCGGCGTTGTACGGCGTGCAGACGCACTCRTTGAACCGAAACGTTCTGTGCGGCTTGACTCTGGCCTGTTGGGTTAATCGAGGAGGAAAAAAAAAAAAGATTGATCAAAAATGTTATCAATTACAATAAAAGTTCAAGGTTACGAAAGCAAACATTTTCTACACTTAACTCCAAACACAGAACATTAGCTCAATAAGTTTCATAATGAGGCTGAAGATACTGGGTATAAGTGCAGATAATAACTCCAATTATCTCCTTTATTCCAATCAGCCACTGTTTTCAAAGACTTCATGCAACATTAATGTGTCGGAGCAACTTCTTATTTTTTGAAATGCATAACTGCCCTTTGATTTGATTGTTGTCCTTTGTTTTAGAATGACTAAATTGAACTGATTGTGCGAAACACTTTTAAAGTTGTGACATTTGAACTCTGTTCTACGACAGATTACACTTGCAAATGATACCTTACGAAAAATAAACTGTCAGGAAAATTTAGTAAAAGGAAACACAGTCAACGTTGCGAAAATGGAATATAACCTTTTAGTTCAAGTGTTTGGGAGCACAACAAATTTAGAAGAGGAAAAAGAACATTTTGGCAAAGAACATAAAACATTTTTATCACATTTAAACCATTATCTATATCAGAGTAGATATACAGCAGGAAAAGATTTCGAGCTACAATTTGGAGTCTAAATATTCACACTCAAACTCACAATGTGGGCCATGATGCTGAGTTTGTGAAGAGAAGGCTGTCGATTAAAGAGGACGATGTCTCCGTCTATCATGTGCCTCTCCACTACGTCACCAAACCTCAGCTCTTGAGCAATCTTTTCACGGTTCCCGTACTTCAAAAATCTGATAAAAGACAATTAATTACGGTTTGTTTTGATAAACATCTGGTCACTACATCATTCAGCTGAGAGTCAGAAAGAGGCGACCTCACCGTTTTACTTTGTTTGTACGGTTCTCGATAAAGTTGGCTCCTGGGTGAACATCGGGACCGTTACGAACCAGTTTCCTCATCAGTTCCAGATTAGCTTTGTTTACCTACAGAGAGTAAAAGAATCCGACACTATAACTTTAATTGCTGACACTGAAGTGGTCGGCAAATATATTTGCTGACGAAATGAAGCGTAACTCACCCTTTCTGGGTACGTCAGAATTTTGGCCACATGAACAGGAACGGCCACCTCATCGATCCTCAAGTTTGGGTCGGGGGAGATGACGGTTCGGCCAGAGAAGTCCACTCTTTTCCCCGAGAGGTTTCCTCTGAATCGACCTGAGTWAACACAGTGAAAACAGTCCTCTTTGAATCCTTTGTTTAAAATATAGTTTGAAAACCACAACATTACTTTTATGTGCTCTTATTATTTGAAATGATACTGATATGTCACCAAATTTAYACTTTTTACTGAAACTGTTGGTGAGTGTATTGAAGATACTGGATATTTTTACACAGCAGTGATTACATACGGACTAAAGCAAGCAGGTTTACATGAGCAAAACAGAGTTAGCAACTAGAATTTACATCAAAAGAAAAATGTGTTTTCCACTAACATTACTAAACTAATTAAAGCTAAAAGTTCAATTAAACACAAACTTTATTATTCCAGTGTACCTTGCTTTCCCTTTAGTCTTTGCACAAAGCCTCGGGTCCATTTTTTGGGGGCCATGTTGAGGGGAATGCCAGAAAGTTCGCTGTTGATATAAAGGGCACACTGTAGCTGCAGGAAGTCCCAGTCCTCCATGATCATCTGGGTTTTAGCTCCCGTCACTCGATGCTAAATGATAAAAAAATAAAATCAATAATACCTGAAAAGGAATAAATTATATTCTAAGAGCTTGCTTGGCTTTCCTGAACTATTCCTAACCCATCCTGAGYCTGGTTCTGCTGGAGTTTTCTTCTTSTTAAAAGGGAGTCAYTCYTTCCCACTGTCGCCAACACAATGCTCAGAATAGAGGATTGCAAAAAAAATTAAGATTTAATGCCATCTGCTGGCTTCCTTTGGTAGATAACTTTGATAAATGGGTGTTTCATAATGTACTGTGAGTGATTGTGTTAATTAATAGAGATTAATCAWCCAGTTAACTACAAATGACAAACCTTTTTGATGACGTCATTAAGAAAGATTATCTCKGTCAGCTTCATGGTGAGGTCGTCCTCATTTGTGCCCGACTTCAAGTCGCTGACCACAGAGGGCCGAATGCAGAGAGGAGGCACGAGGAGACGAGTGATGATGAGATCTGCAGGCTTTCCTGCCTCTGGGTTCATCAGCAGCAGSGGGATGTCTTCTGCAGGAATTCTTCGAAACAAGTTGAGAACAACTAGAGGGTTCAAGTTTTCCTAGAAAGAGAATAAGAATAAAAGTGTAWTTATGCTGAATGTAAGGCTGTACAGGGCTATTAATGACAACTCTAAGTGTTTGTGTTAATAACAAATCATACAAAAAATATATATTGAATAACAACAAAAAAAATTGATTAGGTCCTCTGGACGGGTTCTTCATTGAAACGTTTCGTCTCTTCTCCAAGAGACTTCTTTAGACAGGTTATAAAACTATAAATAATGGAAAAAAAATTGTGAAAGGATTTGATCAACTTTAAGCTCTCATTCCCTAAATAAGCCACTAAATTTTAATACCCAGCTCTAACACCATCACATGCCGAGTCAGAAAATGCAACKCTGCAAAAACAGTCACTTAAATACACAAATCTTTTTAAATAAAGCAACAAGTCTTACCTGTGCTCTTGACAGCAGAGGCTCCATGAGTTTGTTGTGTTCCATGGCTGTATCAAACGACTGCAGAAACTCAGACACAAAAGAATCCACCACCTTTTTGGTTGTTTTATATTTCTCATGAATGATCTTCAGCAAGCCACACTTTTTTACAGGTCCTGAAAAGTAAAAAAAAAAGTGTTTTATTTTTTTTACTTTCAAAGACAATGGCAAACAAAGTCTGTGATTTCAAAAAAAAAAAAAAAACTAAATGTAATTCACCGTTGTAAGCAGAGCAGTTCAGACAGGTTGTTCTTTTRCGGCATTTATCAGAGATCTTCTTCTTCAGCCCTCGTTTCTGAAGATAAGCCAAGTTGGGTCGTTTCAAGTAATCTATGAACTGCTGTTTGTCCTCTTTTGTCAGCATGATGCTTGAACATGTCTTGCAAATCATCTGAACACACAAGAAAACACATTGCAATGAGGGAATGGAATCAGATCTGATAAAAATGCTTCTGCTGTGAGACACTGCATTATGGTTTAAATAGTTTCACAACTAAAATAAGTGAAGAAAACTATATAATTTAAAGTTAACAATTAGAGCAATAAAAATATAATTAGAGCTCAAAYTACTACAACAGAAGGTTCTAATTATGACACTCTGGTGACCCCTAAAGGACAAATGGAGGTATTACACTTTGTCTCATTTTCTTGTGGCTGAAAGAAGACGTCTCTACCGATAATACTTATATGATTTGGCCTTGAAAAGGTTAAAGCTTTTAAAAAAACATTTCAAAATACTTTCTACATATAAATTMTAATCCCAGTAAATGATTATAAAGTACATTGTTCAGTGCATACCACGGACACTAAAGACCAACTGAGTAACTTACCTGTAAGATTCCTATGATGGCTTTGAAATAACCAACATGAAAACAGGGCAGCTCTAAATCCAGGTAGCCATAATGTCCTAAACAATCTGCCAGATTCTTTCCACATGTCAGACACGGCCTGTCCTTCTCACTAGTTCCCTGCATGAAACACAGAATCACAGGGACAGCTATGAATTAAAATGCCCTCCAAATGGTTAACAAGCTTTTTGTTGCTGCAAACCAGGGTTCTTCCTGTAAATAAAAAAGAGATAATACTTGTGTGTGTAAGGAGTCAATAAAATACAAGAAATTAAAAAAAAATACAGGTGACATAATTTAGGGGGGGGGGGGGGKRTGTATTTTCCAGGCAAATAGTTCACTTCTATACCACAATAAATTACCTATGTTGCTTTTAGTTTAGTGATGCAATTTACTGATTAATGAATTATCTAAAGTTGATTGATCTCATCGATCGACTAACAACTAATTGATAAGCAGCCATTTTCTTAAAAACCTGAGTTTTCTCTTGTATTAAGAGGGTCTTTCCATAACATGAAGGGTTAATCTCGTATATTATGCTGAATTTAAACAATGAAGCAGATCAATTTATTTTAACAATTTATTTTGCCAGCTGTATTAAATACTGACTGAATAAACAAATAATTGTGTATTTCTCACACATTATTTAACTGGACACTTTTGTAAAATATAGGGAAATAAACAGAAATCTATTAAGTATTTTTATGTATGTATCGAAAATAAAATTTCTAATCTAAACGCCTTGAAATTGGCCTCCTTCTCTTAAAGAACCTCCTACCGTTTCTGACCCTCCCACTTCAGTACAWCTTCATAACAATGCTTCAGGGAAGGGATGCTCTGTGGTGTGGGAGCTCGAAGGGAGGAACTTTGTACAACTAGGYGGTGCTTTGTACCACAGGAGATTCAAGGATTTCTCAAACATGCATGAATGAGTCAAAGCAACACTCTGGGTACGTTTTTGATGAGAAAATAACATTATAACATGATATAAAGCTCAAATAAGTAGATTTTGCATAATCCCCACCCCCCCTTGGCAAAAACGTCTGACACTTTCAGACCAAACATGGTCTTTGTTTACAAAGCAGTTTTTACTCTAAAAATACAAATATATGTTGATATCTTCATTAGCTTCTGAAATATTAATCCACAATTTGTAAACTTATTTTGAAACTTATTAAAAAAATTAATCGTTCTGTGTTGTGAATGAATGTATAAAGCATTTTATTCAGTTAGAAGATTAGTTTAGCTAAAACAAAAAAAGAGACAAATATTAGACCTTTTGTTTTGTTTTGTACTGTACCATACCATGCGGTGGTCCAACACTCCATAGGCCAGAGGAGTGCGTTTGGTGTCTTGGCTGTACAGATTCTTACTGACCACCTGGATGTGGGCTTGCTTTCTCATTTGTTCTGCAGATTTGATCCCGAAGCAGATGTGGCTTCTGTAAATTACAAGAAAAAAAAAAGCTAATAAGTAAACCCTACAAACATAACGGTCATTCACACACATTATATATATA